AAGCAGTACGGAGTGAAGGGCAGAGCAGTACGGAGGGGGCGAGGAGCGATCCGGGAGAGGGGGGGGAGAGATGAGGGAGAGGACGCGCGATGGCGAACACATCGGAGGGAGAGAAGAGAAGGTCCCGTCGTAGTAAGCGACGGCCAGCACATGCCTGTCCGATCCGACATAGCCGCTGAGTACAAGGTGGCATTGGGGATACAGCCGGTCTCTCGATCGCGGTCGCCGATAGCCGCCGCATGACAAGCCCAAGGGGTGTACGTAAACGGCTGAATCTACCTACCGACCTCTCCACTCTGGACGATGCAAGGAGCCTCTTGTCCGTTGTGTCTGGCCGCATTCCCTCATGCTGTCCCTTTCTCTCTTCCTCTCTCTCTCTCTCTCTCTCTCTCTCTCTCTCTCTCTCTCTCTCTCTCTCTCTCTCTCTCTTGCGCGCGCGCGCGCACTCTAGGTTCCGCTGTCGAGTGGATTCGGTCGATAGTCTACATTCCACGCTCGCTTCGATACCAACTACTAATTCGATGATGGAATACATCGGTGCTGAGGTACGGATAATCAAACGACGTCGGCATCAGTAGCTAAACTCCGCGGCTCGCACGAGCGATTTGTTACACGGAGATCGCATCCCGCGAATGGTGAACATGCAAAGGAGTGGATCTCTTCTCCTGGCCTCTTTCAGAGGAAAAAAACAACACGCAAGGACGAGGACGAAGATAAAATAGAGGGAAACGGAGAGCGATGTGAATAGCAAACTGACGGGATATCATTTAATTGCTTGATTAGCAATTCGCTTCGTAACGCAAATGTCTTGACCACGTAAGATATCATCGTGACATACGCTACGCCGTAAATATTCAATGGATCGTCATGTTAATTATGTCGGACGTATGGATTAATCGTACTTAACAATTCAAGGATATTGATTAGTCAATTTCATAACTGTTTCAAATTGTACGTTCAGTAATTGGCTCGAATGAATCGAAGGAATCAAATCACTCTTGTCGGAATATCAGAAAAGATCTTATTACTACCGGAATATTTCCATATTTTACGTTCGCGAGTGTGCGTGTGTCTTGGGTACGTTATTAATAATGAACATTAATATTCCGCGAACTAAGTAGCAGATTCTCACTCCCATCTTGTCGTCTTGCCATCGCGTTATGATGAATATACCATCGCCTTCGCTATGCGTGGCTGGCGAATTAAATAGCCAATATGCATGCTCGCATGCCGTATAGATTCATGCGTCGAGAATAAGAAGCGGAATAAGAAGCAGGTTATTCCGCACGGCGGAAATGCCGCATTGGTTTTCCGTGAATTAGATTCAAGTCATAACCATACATATGTATATTGGAAATCAAGAGACGCGGTAGCAGCTCACGCCAAGTTCACGCACACCGCAGATTGCGGGAAATAACGACGAGGATTCTGTTAACGAGAGCCATTGAGATGAATCTCAGTTCGCATTTTTATAGCTCAGCGATATACTTCAAACTGATTAAGTTTCAATTAATCTCGATCGACAGCTAAGAATTAAAATTACAAAAGTAAATGAATTTTCATCTTCGCGCCCTATAAATTTTTAATTGACGTAATCTCCGATATTATTACCTTTGTACAAATTAAAATGATGTATCATAAAACAATTCTATGCGATAATAATACTGCCTTAATTTTTATTTTAATTATGAAAATGTTGGTTTACGAAACGATATTCTTACAACAGGCACAATGTACTTGCCGTCTTTATTTATCTTTCGCTTTGAAAAGATAAGTTTTAATAGATTATAAATATGGATAACATTATAATGACGAGGTAATATCAAGGTAATATCAAGAAATCAAGCGCTGACAACTTGTCCCTCGTCGCGAGGATTCTATTCACCTGATGTGATCGTTCAACGCGGTCAGCGCGTTATGACATTTTCATTTCTTTGTTTCTACTGGGTATTTTCACAGGATATCGCGGCGATACATATAAGTAACAAGAATTAATATTCCGCAGGGGGAGAGAAAGAAAGTGTTCACTTTTGCCTTGTCCCCTCGACGTCGTCCCACATAATAAATACATCTCCCTCTCTCTTCTTATACTTCCTTTCCTATCCTTCGCGAGCGTATTCGATTCTCGCGGGTGTGCTCGCGCACATACGTGCCGGGGTAACGACACTAAAGGAAATTTGTAATGAAACGTAGAAGACATAATGGCGAATGGCGCAGGAGGCCGGGGGAAGCCACCGAAGCGATTTATCACGAACGCGATGTGATCGGGGCTCGCTCCTAGCGCTCGGACGTTAATAACGCCGGCCGCGAATCACGAGCTCTATCCGAGCCGCCGCCACCACCTCCTTTCCACCGCCGTGTCTACTCCGATGCATACCTAATAAAGCGACGGGCAGCATCTTTCTCGTTGTGCCGCGGCATCGCCTTTTCCGTACAACCGCATAAAAAGCATTACGACAGCGACAACAAAGGACGGCGACGATGTGCCCCGATGAGCGGGAAAAAGCGTGCAAGGTCGCGCGATAAACGTACGGCACGGCTCGCTCGGATCTGGAATTCGAGAAGAAAGACCGCAGGTGCGCCGTCCGCGGAAAAATGAGTCCACGTTCAAACTTCGCGAGCCTCGGATTCAGATGAGTGCCGGGCTGGCGATTATCGGTGGGTTCGAACGAACAACCGGTCTTCGATTATCCCTTAAAAGGATAACGAAGAAACGTGTCGTTACGCACGGTAATTAAATTAAATTAATATAAGAATCAATCGTCGGTCTCTTTTTCGCCGTATCCGGTTTTAATTGCGAGTATATAGAAAAATTAAAAACTAATAATGATGTATAAAACGAGAGAATTAATTTGTAATAGCTGTGCGAATACATTGCTTTATTGAGATTTATTCCTATTGTGCTATTTGAAAAAAAAAAAAAGAGATTATGAAAGCTGAAAGGAAAGACCTTCAAAAACGATGAACATCTCTCTCTTCTATCTCTCTCTTTCTCCCTTTTTCTCTTGCGCAAGCAAGTTGCCCTTCCCGAACAATTTCTAAGGTCAGCGGAAAATGCGAACGACCGTTT